AGGCAGGGCTGCACAGCAGGGATGTTGTAATTCACTGAGAGTGAGGATAGGGGACTGAGGAAAGTTATTTAGGGAAAGTGCATTCTAATATCTTTTTCTCAGATCTGTCTAAGGCTCAGGCCTATCATTGTTTAGCAATATGAGCAATCAGTTATTTCCTTGTTGACTTTCTCATCCAGCACATTTTAAGTTAATTAATCAGTTTGCTGGTACTTTGAACCTTATCAGTGTTCTCCCTAATTTTTTTTTCTGCATGTTTTCTCATCTAGTTATGATGTTGCCAGCATCGATGACCTTAAATCCTGATTAAAATGATGTTGCTCAAGACAAGACTGTCCACACTCAGTTTAGTGTTGGAAGTCCTTAGCAAGAGCAATTAGACAGGATAAGGGAATAAAAAGTTATCCAAATCAGAAAGGTTTGATAATATACCTAAAAAATCCCAAACACTCCAGCAAAAAGCTGTTAGAAATAGTTCATAAATATAGTAAGGGGGAGCCTACAAAATTAACATACAAAAATCTATTGTGTTTCTATATACAAAAAGCAAACTAGCATAAAGAGAAACCAGGAAAACATTTCTATTTAAATTTCATCAAAAAGAATTAAATACCATGGAATAAAATAGAAGTGAAATCTGCACACTGCAGTGTGCATAGAAGTGAAATCTGCACACTGAAAACTATAAAACATTATTGATAATAAAAGACACAAAGAGATGGAAAGATAGCCCATGCTTGTGGAATGGAGGAATTAACACTGTTAAATATTGTTATCTAAAGCAAGATGAAGACTCAATGCACTTTCTACCAAAATCCCAATGACTTTCTTCACAGAAATAGGACAAGAAAATCCTGATTTTATTTGAATTACAAAAGACCCCAAACAACAAAAATAATCCTGAGAAAAAAAGAAGAAAAATGGAGCACTTACTCTCCCTGACTTCAGACTATACTATACTACAAAATAGTTGTAATTGTACTATACTACAAAATAGTTGTACTATACTACAAAATAGTTGTAAATAGTTGTACTATACTACAAAAAAATGAAGTTGAAATAAAACAGACAAGCAGATCAATGGAACAAAATTGAGATATCAGAAATGAAACCACATGCATACTGACAACTAATTTACAGTTAAGGAGCCAAGAACCTACACTGGAGAAAGGAAAGTCTCTACAATAAAAGGTGCTGGGAAAATAGACTGTCACATACAAAAGAATGGCCACTGTCTAACACTATACACAAAAACTAATTCAAAATGGAATAAAGACTTGGAATGTGAAACTATAAAAGATAGAGTAGAAAACACAGGCCTCTTGACATTAACCTTAGAGACATGAAAATAAAACTTCTGTACAGTGAAAGAAATGGATCAAAACTAAGATACCTACTGAATGGGAGAATGTATTTGCACATGATGCATCCAAAAAGGGGTTAATATCCAAAATATAAAAAGGACTCATAAAATCCAACAATTCACAGAAGCAACCTGATTAAAAATTGGGCAGACGATCTGAATAGACACTTCTCCAAAGAAGACACACAGATGGTAAATAGGTATATAAAATGACAGTCATCACCCCTTATTATCAGGGAAATGCAATCAAAACAAATAGATATCACTTCACACATTCTTGTGAGAATGGCTATTATCCAAAGACCAGAAACAACAAGTATTGGAGAGAACTTAGAAAGAAGGGAATGCTTGTACACTGTTGGTGGGAATATAAATTGGTGCAGTCATTATGGAAAGCAGTATGGAGATTTCTCAAAAAATTGAAAATAGAAATTTACCTCTGGGAATTTACCTGGAAAATACAAAAACACTAATTTGAAGCAATATATGCACCCCCCCCATGTTTATTTTAGCATTAGTGACAGTAGCTAAGACATGGAAACAACTTAAGTGCTTATCAATGTAAGAATAGATAAAGAATTTGTGATTTATGTACACAGTGGGACACTACCCAACTATGTTAAAAAAAAAAAAAAAAAAAAAAAAAAAGAAATCCTGCAAGAACATGACTAAATCTGGAGGGTATTATGCTCTGTGAAATAAGTCATATGGAGAAAGACAAACACCACATGGTTTCACTCACATGTGGCATATAGAGCAGGCAAACACATAGACAAAATAAAACAAAAATAAACTTTCAGATTATAAAAATTTTGCCTCTGATAAATAAATATATATATATGTATACTGACAAATGCAAATGCAGTAAATTACTGCTTGAATAATTAGCACATTGTTTTAAACTTAGCAATTAAACAATGAAAAATGGCCAAAAATTGATGTTGCTGGTAATGTCTGTCATCTTGTTTTGTATAACAGTTTATAATTTTCAAAGCACTTTCATGTAAAACTCTGTATCTTCAGTGTCACTTAAAGAGGGGGGTAAGACTAGGTCTACCTGACAGGTGTGCATAGCCAGGGTCAAATAAAGGGGCTCCAGAGCTTCCTACAGAGAATGATCAACAGTAGATCTAAGAAATCCATGGAAGAACTTTTGGTGCAAGCTATCCTTTGGAAATTTCATTTTCTTCTCAGTAAACTTATCCTCTCATTATTATGTTTAAGCTTTATAATCCTAATTTAAGAGAGGTGGCAACTTATCTTTCTCAAAACCCAAGGTGAACTTCTATCATTGTGTCTTGTATTAATTTTTTTCCTTTTGTCAAAAATGAAATAGAATGGATAGCTCACTGTGATATGGAAACTATAGTTTGTCTGTAAAATATGCAATACTGCACATAAACCAAGTACTTAAAAAAAATCTAAAGAAAGATTCCTTGGGTTGAATTTATGGGAGATTTGTTTTTTCATTGGTTCGACCAAAAGAAATATCTCTTCTGTTTATTTTGTTTAAATTTGTTAATGTATTTTTACCTTTTCTTCTTGCATTTTTCTAAAAAAACTGTCTTTTGCTTAATTAGTTTTTCTTTCCCACTTACTAAGAAACATGCTATAATCTATGAATTTGCTGGGACAAGATCTTGTAGATCCTGGTAATTCTGTGTTGTATTCATTAAGTTTGAATATGTGGGGCTTTTAAAAAATTGTTTTATTGAACACCTTAGTGGTGTGTAAAGGAGATTTTGGCTTATTAATAATGACCTGTGGTGAGTCTGGTGTGGAGAGATACATTTGAGGAGGTGTGAAACTAGTCCCCTATCTCATATACAGTGTTGTAATGTATCTCTACTTAAGAAAATGAATTAAGAAGATATTTTTGTATTGTCCTAGTAGTTCAGATTTTTGTTTTTATTTTTAGCCTTGTTCAATCTGTGGTTATTTATTTCTAATTTTGCTTCATTTTGACACTTTCAAGGTATGGTATTAGTATTTTATGATTAAAATGTTGAAAGAATATATGAAGCAAGACATTTAGCCAACATTTACTGACTATCTATTAAGTGCCAGGTAATCTACTGGTCAGTGGGAAGTGGAGAAAAATAAGATTCTTTTTCTGTCCTCAAAAATCCTAACAAATGGGAATTAATTAAACTAGTAAATTAACAGAAATTATATTTATTGTCTTTAACTTTCTGAGCCACTATGAAGTTGCAGCATCCAATAAGATTGTTAAACTACAAGTCTGAGTTTTCTTCATGAATACCCATAATTGCATAAATAAGGAACGCTGCTGTTTTCTAATTATTTTCAAATGAAGGACCTAGAAAAATTATAGTGGTATATTCACCCTGACATTGATGAACCCAAATTGAAACTCGTTACTGTCCAGACCCCTTTCCAACAGCTGGGGCTGGGCTCATGTGATCATATCCTTTTGTTAAATTTACATAGGTAAGATTTTTCAATTCTTTTTCTTAACAAGGTTCTCCTGGATCGTTACCTGTGGCAACCGCATTTGTCTTTACTATCTGTGTTACTAGGTAGCAGCTATTGGCATATACTATTGAATACATATAATTTCTTGAAATCTTTCAGCTGTTCCAAAATATAACTTAGAAACTGGAATGAATTCCTCAGGGAATCTCTTTGCTTATACCAATCAAATATGTCATAGAAAATTTAAATGTAGAGTGTTTGAAAAAGTTGGAAAGTTCTTCCTTAATGCTTGCTCTCTTATAATATTACATGACATATTTTCTGTGATAAACTGGCATTTGGTATCCAGGAGACTAGGAAGGTGTTATTAACAGTGAACTATCAACAGTGAAAGATGGAGGCTTTTGGAATATAAGGAGTTAAGGTGAGAGACTTTATATTTTTTTGTATATCCAGTACTGTAGCACAGTGCAGGGCATTCAGTGGGTACTTAAGACTTATTAAATGAATAAAAGAAACCTGTTTGGAATTATATTGCAAAAGCTAGCATGGTTGAAGTTTTAGTTTAGTCTCTTACAATACAACATAATATCAAGATCCCAATTTTGATTAGTCAGAGAAAATACTGTGAATAGAAGGCTGATTCTTTGTATAGGTAGAGATTTTCTGCATCACTGACAAGCTTATAATGTCCCATTAGTGGGACAACTGGTTTTGCCTACCACCATTTTGTGAGGACTGGTAGATTGAGCAATGGATTAAAATCAATGTATTAATTATGGAGAAAGACAAGCAAAATTATATAATTAAGTATGTCAACATTTCAGGGTTGGAGTATGATCACTGCATGAGAACTGCCATGGGGATAAAGGGTCAGACTCCACGTCTGTACAGAGTGGTGTGTTGGTGGTTATACATGGGAATCTATTTCTGGGAAAGTATTTCTTTGCTTCCTTTGTAATTAGCTGCCGTGAAGAGAGAGAATTTGGATAGTTTTTCAAACTTTCAAACAACTGACATGTTGCTTCTTCCTTTTCTTTTTTCCCTAGAAGCAAATTAACTTAGAGTTCACCTCCTCTTTCTCCCCTTTGCCTTCTTGTTCTGCCTCCCCTCCTCCCCACAGATGAGAGATAAATGTGTGATTTGAACTAAAAAGTTTTGTCATCTGTGTAAGTGCAATTAGCATTTAGTTTCAGTTTACCTCCTGCACATATGGTAGATGGTTCAGCTGCTAGGATTTCAATGCAGGATTTCTTCAAAATCTAGGAGGAGAGGAAATAAAATAGTCAAAGCATGTTTTATTTTGCTGAAACAGAGGAGTAACATTTTGCTTTTAGCTTCCAAGATGTGAAAATTCAAGGACAAAGTGTTTTAGTGGGAGGGGTAACATCTTTACTGATATCATTAATGTCAAACATTCAGTGAGCTAGCATTGTGCTTGATGATTTTGGGTGTCCCCAAAGTCATAAGAATTATTCATTTTTTTTTTCTTTTGGGGCTGATTTTAATCAATACTATGATAAGCTAGTCCGCACCATGGAGAGGTTTAACATAGAGTTGGGTACCTGGGACTTACACTTAAAAATGTAAATAACAAAAGCCAATCACATGTGGTAGGTGCCAGGGTGAAGGGCCACAGAGCAGGGGCCATGGAGTTCATGAGGAGATTGCTAAGGGTTGGAAGCCTGGAAAGAACTTCATGGAAGAGATGGGCACTGAGGACAAGACTCAAGTGGGTAGGAGGTAAGGGAAGATTAGGCTGCAGGCACAGAAAGGTGTGAGCAAAGGTGAAGAAGTAGAAATACACAGAGCTCTTAGCTGGAACAACAGGAGCTTGAAAAATAGAAATAAAAGAGAAAGATAATGAAAAGGGCAAAAGGATGAAGGTAGTTAAAAGATCCTCAGGAGGATAATTTTCAGAATACTCAGTGTCCTTTTTTGTTAGCAAAGTAAGGAAAGATGTTAGGGGAGAGGGATATGAAGGCTTCTCATGCCTTACCCTGTAGGAGGATCCCCTAAACCTTACTTAAGTGGAAATGTTTTCTCTCCCCAAATGAATCTTATAGGGGTCAGTGGAGAGCCTGGGGAATCCCATGACCACCCAGGGAATTAATAATGAGGGTTTCTGGCCAAAGCAGGATTTTAAGCTTTTTGCTACTATTTATGAATCCCACCTCTCATTGAATAATCACTTTTAAAATTTCAAACATTTGAAAATGTATAAGACACTAAATAGATTTTACCGAGGGAATATAATATATTTATTGGGGCATTACTCAATTTGGAAATTGATATGGTTTGGAGGGCAGAAGGGACCCATCTGTCTGTTTATGAAAAGGGCATTTGTAAAAGCAATTAATGGTAAAATTATAAAATTTAAGGTGCATAAAGAAGAAAACACTTAGCACTAGGAAGCACCTATTAATTTGTATTGATGTATTTGGCTACATATGCGTCTTTGTTCCAGCTTAAGTGAAGTGACATCACAAGACAAATAAATAAATTATGAAAGGGGAGGATGTGGGTTAAAGAGAAAATACAGAGATGAAGTAAAAAGTCAGAAAATAACAGAAAAAAACCTGTGAGGAGCTCATTTCCTTGTTAGGAATGGCTCAGGAATTCAGTTCTAAGCTTTTGAGTAGCAATTGTGAAGGCAAGACAATATAAGGTTTTTGCTCTGTAGATTAAAAGTAGGCCATTTAGTCTCTCAGAAAAGACAGTATTTACCCATTCCAAGAGAAATCTGGGAGTCCTCATGGAGAAGCATTGGGAAAGGAAATAAACAACATGCTTCAGCAAATCTTTGTCTGATGCACAGATGACAAAACATTAAAATGTATTCATTGACATAGGTTCCCTCACAACCATATATTTTAGAGAAATTTATATATACTTGAAAATTGTAAAAGGCAGCACTTCTTTTGATTATTTTCTCACAATTTTACAATTCAGATGTCTAGCTGCTTTTCCTAATATTCCTTCCCACTCGTGTATAATTTAACATATTTTCATACTTTGATTCCTCTATTTGTTTTCCTCCACCAGATTCCTGAAGGAGACATTTGTTTCTTTTTGTCAACTTTCACCTTATTTTCTCAGCCTCTGGCATCCCCAGCCACCCCTACTCCCATCCCAGGTAAAGAAGCAACCTTGGCTCCTCCTATAGCCTGAGCCCATTATAACTGTGACAGGAGGCACAGGCACCAAACTTAACTCCTCATGTCCTGGGCCATCTCTGTTAGTGTCAGTGGTGCTCACCCACCTGGGTCTGGGGACCTGGTATCAACAATGAGCACCTGAGTTCCCTTCCATGTCTTTCTGACTTGGGACCAAAAACTCCAAGGATATATCCAGGTTCCCCTGATGGCTTCTCCATCTTCTTTTTTTCCTATGGTTGATCTAGGAAAAACCTTTTGGTCTCTTGTATATGTAACAATGCCCTAGCACTGGGTCGTGCTAGGATATTGGTGTGCTGCAATTCATAACCTAGATACTAACCCTTCTTGAATTGTGACGGCTATTCATCCTCTTCAAAGCAATTCACTGTCACTGCGCTCTTCCTACCCAAGAGCTGCCTCAGTCAGTGGCTGCCATGACTGAGAGCAGTAGCTACCTCCTTCAACAAGTCCTCAGGCACAAGTTTTCAAATGGGCCGCATTGGAAGAAACAAAATTAACCCATATGGAGACACTTACTAAATAGTGGCATTAAAACAGTGTGAAGCTATTTTTGTTATAAATAAAATTCCTCAGGCATTTGGCATCCCTCAATAAATCACTTTATTATCAACAACTAAAGATTTCAAAACAGTTCAAGAATAAAAATTGAGCTATTAGAGCTACCCTGTCCCTGTTCCACAAACTCCACCAAAACAGATAATGAAATCTGCACCCATGTGAGTTCCTGACTTTGAACAAACGTTTTTGAACCAATACTTAACCAGGGTTTGGTAAAGGAAACACCCATGAATCTTTGACCACAAAGACACACTAGCAACTTTTGTCATAATAAACACATGCTGTACTATTCTTTCAAAGTGTCTGCAATTAGCAGATAAATCTAAGGAGTGTATGAAGGGCCAAAATATGTCAGCCAAGCAGAGTGATTCAATCCAGTAAAAACACAGCTTTCCCAATCTTAACTTAAAACATCTGGAAGGGATGCATTGTGGCCAATAGAGTAAAATTTATCAGTGAGGGGGATGGGCAGGAATCTGTCTGGGACTGTGGCTTCTATTAGTTTGAAATGTCTGGTTTCAAAAGGTAGGAAGTTACAATGGTCATGGGTGGATTTGGGGGGTTCCCTTGGTTATGAGAAGCCCAGACTGTATGGTAATCAGTCTGTCTGAACTGCAGCAAACAACAGATCAACTTAAGGGCTGGAAACGGGATGGAGGTGGGGAGGTGAGGATCCTTCCCCCAACTAGGCAGTGGTGGCGTGGAGGAAGTCTAGATACACTGCATGGAGTAGAAGGGACTCACACGGGGTGAAGACAAAGCTGTGAACAGGCCTGCAATGGAGACTGGGTTAACACCAACACATGCCATAAGTATAGCCTTAATGTGAAGAGTTGGGTCCTTGTCCCGGCCCTGCACTTACCTGACCTACAGTCCTTGACAAATCCTTCAACTTTTCTATACCCCAATTTTGGGAATGAGTATAACATACTAAATAATATTGATAGCTTGAAACCTGGAATCAAATGGCTTGAGTCAATTCACTCATGAGCAGGGTGATCTTGGTAAGTTTCATAACTTCCCTTAGTCTGTTTTCTCATCCTAGAAGTAGGATAAGGACAATAACTACAGAAGAGTAAATGAGATCATAAGGCAGAGCCAATAGCCCCAGGGCCTGTATCTGATAAGCCCTCAACTAAAGGAACTATTATTCTGAACATCTTGTGCTCTAGAGACAGAGAAAGATAGACCTGGGCTCTGAATAATTTATATTAAAATTAAACATCATTCACTGGCCATATGAACTTAGAGAAGTTATTAACCATCTACATCTTAGTTTCTTTTCCTATAAATGATAAGAAAGACACTGACTAGATGGTAGATGGGCTATATCATGGTAAAATGAGTAGTAGACATAAATGGAGAGACAGCTTGTAAAACCAAATGGACTTTTAGGTGGTAAAATTCATATTGGATTGGAGTGAGCTCAAGGAAAACTGACAAGGTTCTTGTCTTATGACAGAACTAAACAGATGTGATTGGTCAACAGAGAGTGATTTAACAATCCTGGAGTCACTAGCCTTTCATGGAAATAAGGCACTAAGGAACTTGCCCAGAACAACCTTAGCTGGAAAAGCACTCAGGAGAATATGTGATAAATATTTGATCTTCAGACAATGGTAGCTATTTCTATTACTTTGGTAATTACTATCACTTTTGTTTTTACTATTAGTACTGTTACTTTTCTTGGGTATGGATCTCTGCTCAGCTCTGCTTCTATCACATGCCCATCACTGACCTTGAGCTTACCCATATTTACTGGGGAAAAAAAAATAAACTGGAAAAAGACTAATAATATTATTCTGCTACTTTCTGGATAGATTCCAAAAAGAAAATACATGGGAGAGCATGTTTGAGATCCATAAAATCTACCTTACTGGTATGGTTGTTTTCATGCACCTCCCTAGGTTCTTATATATAGTTCATAAGAACTGTATATACTTGACGTGAAATTCATTGTGGACCAGTTCAGATTGTATAGAAGGGTTTATGTTTTTGGAGTCTAAATATCTATGGTTCGTTTTTTTTTTATAAAGTTATCTGTTGATGCAGTGGTTTCTCATGAATCCTTAAAGAATTGTGAATATTTACACAGTTATGAGGAACTCCTCCCTTACCACAGGCTCATTACTTTTTTTTTTTTTTTTCCTAGTCTGCCTCCTTCCCCAGTAAACAACCAATCTTTATTTACTTGGCCATTTCCTATTGGATTATTTTTTGGTTTGTTAATGAAAGACCAGCTCTTTTGTTCATTCGTGATACAGAGGACTTTTGCTTTCAGAAAATCTTCCAAACTATGTTCCTTGGTGTTTTGTTATGAAGGACATATGTGGCTTGAAGATGCCCGGGGCTTGTACTAGGCTGGCACATGGGTGGTTAATGACCTACTGACCAATTACGTTTATCTTGACAAAAAAGAAAAGAGCAGTTTTCCTTAATTTCACTCTCTTTGCCCTTCTTTAAATATAATACAAATTTTATCACCTAAGTCCTGGTGATTTAACCAGTGAAAATTGCTGCATCTA